CGCATGCCAAGGGGGCCAAGTCAGCCGCAGCTGCGCGTCCATGAACACTGAAAAGCCCCCTAACTCTTACTTCCTTTCTGCAGACGCAAACGGCCGCAAGGGGGAATGCTGGCCCCTTCGCTTTCCAAACCATAACCCATATCGCTCTTGATAGACCGGCAGAACGTGAAGGGCAGACTAGAGGGAAAGAAATGGATTTTGAATGCGACCTCGACGGCCATGAATGTCGAGAGATCACAGGACGACAATTGACGCCTGCGCTACCGCAACATCCCCTCCGCATATCCGTTGACTTTCTACTTTTTCTAATCGGAGAGATCCGTCCGTCCAGACCCATCCCGAAAAGCCTCCATTTCGCGAAAAGAAGGGAAGATAGAAAGTGGAGAACAGCAGGGTAAAGCCCCTAGCAGCTCCAACGGAGGAAAAAACGCCGTGTCCTTCTATAAATAAAGCACGCACCACGCAAAACTTCGTTGCCACCTTGTTGCAGCCGATGCGCGTCGCCACACGCCGCCCACGAAACGAAACCTGAAAACCGCGCCCTCCGTCTGCCCTTGGCCCCTGCCTTCCCAACACGCGGTACAACCTCAGCCGAGAAGCCCTGCCCCAATAACCCGATAACCCCCCCCGGCCATTTGGGGATCCAAATGCATTGCGCCTGGGTTTTTCATTGAAGTACATGTGCTCGTATCCCAATCGCCTGCACCAGCGCAGGTCGCGGGGATGCGACTGGGCGAGGAGAAGACCTCTGACTCAGACCGGCGACATGCGCGGGTGCCCAGGGCGGTCCGCTTGTTCATCATCTCGGAAACGAGCTACGTAAGTTAGGGGCTGTCAGGTCCTGGGTCTATTTAAGCCGTGACGGCCTCTTTATCCCCCAATCTCTAATTCTCTCTCCTTTTTTCATTCTGCAGCAGCGCAAGGGATCCCGCAGGATCCCCGACGCGCTGGCTTTTTTCTTCTCATCATCGAGTACAACAGCTTGGCGAAAGATATAGTAGCACCAGAAATGGAAGCAGTAGCAATAGCAGCAGCAACAGCAGCAGTAGCAGCAGCGCATGCATGACCATCCCTCGAAGCTCTCTTGACTATACACGCTCTAAACGCTCTGTATGTAAGCCGTCACAAAATACCATTGCCACCGGCGGCAGCGGAATTTCACCTGCTGCTTGATAGCGCGCCAGCGCCGCCATCTAGCTAGACCGTGCTTGCTGCCCCGCCGTCGCCCAACGTCGCGCCACCCCCGCCTCCATGGGTAACTGCAGTCGACAGCTCCACAATGAGCCTGCGGGATAAACGCCAAAAAGAGAGAGGACGTGAAGAACAGAAGGCCCCGTGCTGCACATCAGACCTAGTGGCCGCCGCCGCCGCCACAGCCGCCCCGATTGGCGTGGATAGCATGAACACGCATGAAGCACCAGGTCTATGTCAGACCATGCCTGACCATCTTTCCCCCATCTTAAATCCCATGCACATTCCATCCCATGGGACGGCGCTGGTTCGTGAAGACCAGGCTTAAGGTAAAGCCGATACCGCGACAGTGCGCGGACAGCACCCCACGCGCGCCCGCCCGTAAGCACGCAACGTCACGCAGCACACCTTTGCACGGCCGCCACCGCAGCCGCCAGCTCCGGATGTTCAAGGTTGGCATAGCCCGTGATCGTGGCCAAGGCAGAGGGCCACAGCGGCGTGTCACCCTGGCGCAGCCGGTGGCAGTACAGCGCAGCGGCCGCTGTGGCGGAGGGCCGGTAGTTCAGGAACTCCGAATCGCGCAGGGTTTGGTCCATGAGCACCCGGAGACTGGGCCCCCTTCGGTCCTGCGGCAGCAGCAGCAGCAGTAGCAGCAGCAATAGGAGCAGCAACAGATCAAAAATATTGTGCTTAAGAGAGTCTAAAGAGCAGTGGCCCTCAAATATGACACTTTCAGCTAACGGGGTGCGTATGTGTATGTGTGTGCCAAACTCGCACTGGCATCTGGAGACGGGATGCGGCGGCTGCCCACCTGCATGTCTTCCGCATCCAGCAGCTCAGCTCCGAAACCCAGGCGCCGAGCATACAGACGCAGGCAGCGCAGTGCGGATATCGCGGCCGTATCTCCCGCCAGTGCGCTGTGGATGTTGAGCTCCATGGACTGGAATCCCAGGGTGGGGAGCCCTGTCACCTGCGCGCGGGCGTGCACGTGGACGCGGGAGAGTTTAAGTAAAGTGAGGAGCACGAGGCAAGCTGTTGGCAAAGATTAAGGAGAATTGTCGGGTTCGGGACGGTATATTTTATATATACAAGATAGACATCGCAGGAATGAGCCTGAGATGCCTCGTTAAGGCGGATGACGAAGAAGGAACGAAGAGGGAAGCAGGGGGAAGAATTGTATGCAGGGGCAAGAAACGACGGAGGCATGCAGAGAAGGAAAGCGAAAGCCACAAACTAGGTTCTCTACCAACAGGACTGAGCGCAACCAGGCGCACGGAAGGACGAATGCCATAACAGAAAGAAGGGGCGCAAGAACGCCATCCATACCTGGGCCAAGCGCGCGTCCAACTCCGCCTCAACCTGCGCTCTGCTGCTTCCGCCCCCTCCGCTTGCTCCGCCGCCGCCGCCGCTGCCACGCATCACGCCAGCGCTCCTCCCGCCGCCTTCCCCAGGCGCCGCCGCGACGCTTTGTCCCACCGATGCCGTACCCGTCGCCAGAATCCGCAGCGCCGTTACAGCGGCCATTAAGAACAAGTCCTCCCGCAGCTGCAGCGCCGCCGACATGAGTCGATCCAGGAGCAGTACGGCATCGTGGGCAACGTCACGTGAGAGCTCCAGGTTGGCGGCGACGCGGAGCAAGTTGGCGGCCAGATCGCGGCGGCGACCCAGGTAGAGGCCCCCCATCGCAGCCACTGACAGGCAGTGGGTAGCTTCGAAACGGCGGACCTGGTCGAAAGCATCGCGGCAGGCAACCTGAGGCCCGAGGTGGAACAGGTTGCGGGAGAAAAGCAGCGTGGATAGGATGGGGCCATGGGGAATCGGTTATCTCTGCGCATTGGATGTTATGCGTTCAGCAAGTGCCGTTTGTGGCGTAAAATCTGAGAGGACAAGCGGCTCAGCAAGAAAGACGCCAGTTGTCCGCAGTTTGGGAAGGGCAAAGGGAAATCAGACGGGTGGGAAAAGGCACACCTAAGTACTAAGTTTAAAAGCTGGAGTACTTGGACAACATCAAAGCAAAGAAATGCCTAAATTGTGATGTTTTAGGCAATTGAAGGCGGTCATCTTTGCGACATGTTCAAGGACAGGACGCCGCGTGCCGCAACATCAGACACAGACGTTCAGCAGCCCACCCGAGGTCATGATCACGTCCGCACCTCAAGCTCTGCGTCCCGAACCACCTCGTCCTCGGAGCCCTTCATGGCAGCCATCAGCGGATCGCACCCCGCCGCCGCCGCCCCGGCCGCGGCCCCCGTCTGGGAAGCGGCGCCGCTGCCGCCGCTGCCACCGCCGCCACAGCAGAACAACATCAGAGCGATCGCGACCGAGTCCTCAAGCAACCAGGACGCCAGGTCGGGCCCGGCGGCTTCCAGCCGCTGCGCAGCGGCGGTACCGCCGTCCTGCACCAGCCTGAAGGGGGACCCACGGGTCTGCAGCCAGTTGTGGAGCACTTCCCGCAGCGGCAACGCGCCGGCGGCGTCGCGGCCGCCGCGGGCGCGTGAGAACCGCAGGATGACGCGAAGCGGCAGGGCGGCCTCCGGGCCCAACTCAATGGCACGCGCCCTGCAGGAGGATGATAAGGCGACATAAAGACATAAAACGGTCGGTCCTCAAGAGTGCAACGGCCCCCACAACTGCAACATGCAACGCAGCCCACCTCGCTGAGCTGCACTGTTCCCCCAGGACCCCGGCCGGCCCCGTTTCCCCATATGCTTCATCGGGCCCCAGCCCCCATCGGCCCCCAGCCCAAACAGACGCGCGGCCGTGGCAATTTCTCCCTCCCCACCACCACCACACACACACACACACACGCACGCACGTCTGTCCTTCCGACACACCACTGTGTTACGGACCTCTGCTCCCCCATGAACGTCATGAACGCCACCACCGCCGACCCCGTCGCCAAGGCTGCGAGGTGAAGCTCGCGGACATCGCCGGCCCCCGGGACACCGCCGCCAGCTTCCACCGCAGCGGCGTCAGCGCCAGTGGCGGCTGAGGATGATGCATCCGCAGGCCCAGCCAAAGCCGAGTAAATACCGGAAGATCTACCTAGGGGTCCAGCACTGCGCCCAGCAGACCCGGCGTAGGTGGCGGCAGCTGCCACAGGGGTCCCGGCGGCGACGGCAGCTGGGGCAGTGGTCGATGACGTGATGGCGGTAATGGGCTTGACAAAACCAGCGGTCATGGCGGCTCGGTAGATTTGCGCAGCGCGGGTCTGGGCCATGACCACACCGCTGTCCCACAACGCATCCACAATGGCGCCGAAGACGACATGGTCGGTTCGGCAGCCCTGCTGCAACATGCAGTCAAAGGCCTGCGGGAGGGGGAGGAGTAGGGACCGGATAAGCAGTGAGGGGCACAGAACAGCACAGTACTGAAAAACAAAGCGCAGTGCGATAGCTGATAACACCATATGCACAACAGTTCAAAAGGAATGGACGAATAAATGAAGTCAAAGACCGGAGACGAGGAGAAGTGCAGAGCAGAGCAGAGCAGGAAAAAATCCACGTAAACTTCCCAAGTTTAAGAGGGAACATTTTCAAGCATTTCTCCCGTGAGTCAGTAATGTAAGAGTGACAGGATAACTCACGCAAGCCCAGCAATGGCATGTCATCCTCGCCGCAACTAGCCATTCCTTACCACCTGCCGTTCCCCTCGCCGCAGCAACTAAAACCAATACCAACTAAAACCAATACCAACTAAAATCAATGCCAAGCTACCCGGGTTTCAAGCTACCCCGGCTTGCTCCATCTGTGCGCTACGGCTGCCCCAGCATGTCCACCAAGCAGCACACCGACACACAGACCTACCTGCAGCGCACGGCGCCACTGCCCGCCCCTCCCGTAGGCGTTGATCAGCGCAGTGTAGGTGACCACGTCGGGCTCGCAACCCTGCGGAGGATTAACACATACATACATGTAACAATACATAGCAGCTCATTGCAACTGAAACAACCTCTATCCTGAAATCCTTCTCATCTTTCCCGAAGGCCTACAAACTCGCAACTTGCCCCCATGTCCCCACAACCAGCTCTTTCCCTCCTCGCCTGCTTCCCACCTGCTCTCCTAACCGCAATGCTTCCCAACCCAGCCGCAACTTCCCCAGCCCCCAAACGACGTGCCTGGCGTTGAAGCTGCACGAAAACATCCGCCGCCCTCTCCCACTGCGACCCGGCAGCCAGCGCGGTGATGAGCGAGTTGTAGGTGATGACGTTGGGGGTGCAGCCCTCGCGAAGCATCTGGCTGAACATCTGCAGCGCCAGCTCCCACTGCCCGTCCCGCTCGCACGCGGAGATCAGCGCCGAGTACGTGATGACGGTGCGCTCGCAGCCCGCAGACTCCTGGCAGCGCAATCGTGATGAGTTTTGCGGTGAGTGGTGCTGTGAGCTTTTCCGGACAATCTTTTTCTGGACAATCTTTTTCCGGAAGCGGTGGTGCAGCGTATTATGCGTCTCATTGGGTATTATCCTACCTCTGTCGGCCCGACAGAGGTTAAAGGCCTTGAAATTTGAAGTTTCGTCGCAGCGACTCAACAAAGGGTTCACACGCCCAGGGGACCATCTAGCAGGGAAGTTCGCGGGAGTCGCGCGCACGGACGCACCATCTCCCGAAATGTCTCCATGACTTTCTCCAACTGGCCCGCTTTGGTGTACACAGTGATCAGCGCGTTGTAGGTGGTAGTGTTGGGCGTGTGACCGTTCGCCAGCATCTCGTTGTACACACCAAGCGCTTCGTGCCACTGGTTGCTGCTGTTGCACGCGATCATCAGCGTGTTGTACGTCCTTGTCACCGGCTCCATGCCCTGCCCAAGTGATGGTGGGGGGGAGGGGAAAGACGAACCACGAACGAGTGACGCTGGTGGGGAGGGGGGAAAGAACGCGGGAAACATAAAGCAAAAAACGAACATGCAGTGCCGATGTCCGAGGAAGGAAGGGCACTGCGTGCGAGGTGCAAAAACGATGATGCATGGCATCAAAGTGCCCATATCTATGTAACCGCGACAGGCGGTGACAGGCCAACGATGAGGAGGCCAACACCAGCGCCAGCGCCAAATGAACGGACCAGGGGGGTTCCAGTGCGGCCATAGGGACGGCCCCCAGGAGCTGAGAGGCTGCATGCACAGAAGCGAAATGAATGACGCCACAGGTGCACGTCATGCATGCAAATGCAAAAGGCAAAGTATGGTCGGCGAACAACACCGAAAATTCGTCACGTCGTGCACACGTAAGCACAGCCAAGGTGCAGGTACGTCTTCCCCGCCTCAGTGCCGCAGCCTCCCTGGAGGGGCCCCAACCCTGTGAAATGCAGGAATGCCGCCGCCCGCAAGCACTGGGAATAGCCAACCAAGCAACCGACCCGCCAGTCGGATGACGCCTATGCTTACGGCTTTCACATGGTGCACACCGCATCGCTCCAACCCGGTTGGTCGCGGTTCGCAGCAACCAAGTAGAGTGTTAGGGCATGCGCTGCACCAGACTTATACTGCTAACGAACAACGTATTACGCACCTCCTCCTTCATCCTTGCCAGGATCTTCAGTGCTTCGGCCCACTGCCCCGTCTTGCCGTACGCATCGATAAGCGTGTTGTACGTGACGACCTGCATTGTGGGTGGGCAACACGAAAAGCCAAGATCGCAAAAGGAACAACGAAACGCAAAAAATGTTGCTCTCACGCGGGTTCATTGCCGCTGGCTGCTGACTAGCTTTCGCAAAAGATAAGCGGAACGTTCCCTTGCCTGGGGGGTTCCCTTTTCCGGGGAATACACGAGTAGCTTGGCGGCCAATCCAAGTGCAATACCATAAGAATGTCAGGTTACGTTACAGGTTACTTACGTTATATATAATATATAAACAACATAGATAGCATATTATCTGCAATACTGCAGCTAATCTCTATTCAATTAGCTGCAGTATAATTAGAAATTAGCAATTACGCGAAACGCGTAAATACAATGAACAAAAATAGCAACATGCCGGGCACAAATGAGCAAACGGAGAAAAGATTAAAAAATGCGCGCACGCTCTCCACAGAGCGCGCTGCATGTACTCCCCCAGACGTCGTGCAGTCACCAGGTGTGTTTTTCCGGCGAAAGGAACTGCTCTTGAAACAAGACAGGCAAACCGGTATCGGGATAGGAAGCCAAATACTCACATTGGGCCGGACTCCTGCGTCCTGCAGCTCCCGCCACACATCTAGCGCAGTCTGGTGTTGGCCCGCCTTGATGCATACGTTCATGAGCGCGGAAAAAGTGTGGACGTTGCGCGGCACGCCGCGCGCCACCATCTCCCGGCTAAGCGCTAATGCAAGTTCCATGTCGCGTCGGTTGCTGCTGCACAAGGAAATCATGGCCGTGTACGGAAACACGTCCAGCAGCCGCGTCAGCTCGTGGCCAGGACCCAGGGAACGCAACCAATCGAACAGCTCCCAGGTCTGCGCAACCAGGCCACTGTTTGCAAGCTGTTTGAGCAGCGCTGCCAGGCCGCGGCCGTCTAGACCAGCCAGTTGACCGGCCACGACGTCCTGCGGCGCTTGGGCGCGGGGGAGCTGCCGAATGATCATGAAGAGCTGATGCACCAGCGCGTCAGAATGCGCACCCGGAGGCCCGGCACCACCAGCACCACTACTAGCTCCACCCCGGCCCGAACCACCCGGAGCGCCGCGGCCACTACGCCATCCATGGCCCGAGCCGCTACCGCCAGCACCGCCACCGCCCCGGCCCCGGCCGCGGCCGATGTCCTGCCGTGGGGCAGCGCCCGGAAAGGGCTCGGCAAGGTGGCCGCCGTAGCGGGGGTAGGGCAAGCGCTGGCCGCCCCAGCCCCTTCCTCCCGATGGATGAGTTATGGAAGCCTGGGGGGAGTGGTGGGGCAGCTGCAGCACCTGCTCCTGTTGAAGTTGGTGTTGCTGGTGTAGCTGCTGTTGCTGGTGCAGCTGCTGTTGCTGGTGTAGCTGCTGTTGCTGGTGCAGCTGCTGTTGCTGGTGCAGCTGCTGTTGATACAAGTGGTGTTGATGAAGCTGCTGTTGGTATAGCTGCTGCTGCCGCTGCTGCTGCGCAAGGTGCTGCGGCAGCTGCGGCTGCTGCTGAACTGTCCAAGTCTGCGTCCCTGCCCATGTTTGTTGGACTGGTTGCTGATGTGGCAGCAGCGCCTGTTGCTGCTGCGGCATGCCAATAGCCATTTGAGTCGTCTGTTGGTGCAATCCGGCGACCGATATCTGAGCTGGGGAGATGACAGTGAACGGTGCCGGTAACAGCAGCCCTCCGGACTGGGCATACTGCTGAGAGCCGGCCGCTGCTCCTTTGCTCCCGGCAGATTGAAGTGGTCGACCCCAGCTCCCTGAACTTGCCGCCGCACCGGCATCTTGATGCGCAAAGGCGTGAGTTTGCTGTATAGGCGTGCGTTGATTGTTCTGTTGATTCTGTGACACTTGTCCGCTGTGCCACATAAATAGGCTGCCAGCCTCCTATGCCGCCACAGAGCCACCAGGCGGAGATCGTTCCATTAGGACCCGGCCTGCGCAAATTTGAAAAAGGTTGACAAGTTGTATCATCTTTAACAAATACCGCTTCACGTATGCACCACGCTTGGCCTTGGCAAGTGGGACGGACTATGGAGGAACACTTTTATGCCCAGAATCTGTCAAGGCAGGGGCCTGCCACTACTCTCCAAACGCTATGGAGATGCAAACGTTATGCAGGCGCCATAGTAAGCCCTTGAAGCCACACACCTCGACTCCGCCTGCGGGGCCACGCGGCCTGGTCCCCCACCCGCCCGCAGGGAGACCCGGCCCTACTGCGCAAGAGTACAGGTGCCCATAAGTTGGCCAAGGAAAATAAAGATATTATGTTGAGTATGCAGCAAAAACGGATGGCACCACTGAGTTGGACCTTGTCATTAAAGAAGTGTACTATTGCAACAGCATGACCTCCTCATCCTTGCTTTTGCAGGATGCTTTGCTGAGCAATTTTGACCGTGGCCTGCCGGATCCGTACTCCCACAAATCGATGCAAAGCGCGGTGCAGATCGCAATATTTTATACGGATCGTAATATTTGCTACGATAGCGGTATCCAGCTTGTGGCTTCGATAGTTCTAAAATTCCGGAACTTCAATAGCCTGGCACAGGGCATAAAGCGGCCAACCAGATCACACTGACGTGCTGTTTCTCATGAGGAAAGCCAAGTTCTTAACAAGTAAAGGAACGTTCTCGCACTTTGCACCGTTTACTTTTCAGCTGAGTGTGAAAAAAGGTTCCATTTTAGGTAGTCCCTAGATACAAAGTATGTTTATATTGGATAAGGACAGCAAAGGCTTGCCTTTGTTTTGAACGTCCGCGCAGACCAGGTATAGCTGCGGAGTTCAGCACGACAGGACACCAACGAAGTTTCGCGGCGTGACCCTTGTAGACACGAAGGATGCAAGATCTTTCCAGGCGTGCTTGCTCCTCCGCTACCTTCGTCCTACGTGCGTAAATATCATGTCAATAAAGCTCTGAAGATGCTTAAACATTAACAGCAGACTCCTTGCCTTAAGCTTGGCGGCCTCTCTCTCAGGGTGGTCGCTACATCAGGCAAACAATCCCTGGCAGAACCAAGCCTCAACCCCTCCCCCGAGGACAGAGTAAATCATCACACACTGCATTCGCTTCTTGACTCACGCGCTTTGCTTTACACAGGACGTTCCAGGCCTTCAGTCACACCGAAGCAGCGTTGACCTACGTTGACCGACACCGCTATTTGTGGGCAATGTGGATAGGCGGGAAATTACACCTACCTACCAACGATATCCTCTTACTCCTGACAACCCTGCTTGCCAACTAAGTTCTCTAATGTGGGACAGGGCTTCATAGGAGGGTCCCAACGAAATATATGGCATAGCGGACGATAGCGGAACGGAACTGGAAGGGACAGAGCATGGCTGCTCCGTTGCGGTGTACGCAACCCATGCAGTGCACCCTTGACCAATTTTGTCATGAAGAGAACCCCTGAATCAGCACTGCATAGTTGCCTACGGCCAGAGGTGCGGGCCTGCCGGATGGGTTATGGAACTTCTTCCCCCTGGGTAAGGGCTGCCAGCAGAAGGCTGGAAAAAGGCTGGAGAAGGGGGACAGCAGAAGGCTTAGATGACATGTGGCTTGCAGTGCGATGGCTAACTCCTAGTCCTGGCCCCGTGCGATCCATCGTGACTCTTGTATTACAAGGTAGCGTGGAGGGAAGGAATATTCCGGTGCAGTCCTAAGAACCCAGCAGAACCACGTACAGGGGCACGGACGGCCCCGGCAGGCACGCAGTCATTTGGAAAGGCTACGTGCCCTCGAAAGACGGCTTCTCGTAAACCAGGACGGGAGGTCAGGACAGGAATGTTTCCGCCGAACAGCTGCATCAGCAGATCTGAGCAACATTTTGCGGTGTTGCATAGCCCAGCGTGGGAACCCCCTCCGGGCTCCCTTTCTCGCTATCGTAGAATGCGATTGTCACAGCAGTGGACCCCGAACGGGTCGAGTACAGCGCCCTTAGGAACGCCTCCCGCACAACACTGTGGGCCTTACTCAAAAAGAATTCGGCCAGGCCGTGCTAACTTCACTGGACACAAAACCTCAGTTAGCACGCTCGTACAAAAAATCGTATCGTAGTCATCATGCTCGTCGTCTTTCTCCTGATTCCTCTCGCACATGCGCGTGCAGGCGAATGGAGATTTGGTGAATGGAACGGCGACAGCTCCGGCCCCTGCTGGGCGGCGTGTTTCGTCCAACTGTTTAATAGCTGCCTGTCCGAGCGACTTCTGTAGAAAAGGGCATTATCTCGGTCCCGATCAGCACCAGGGTATGGGTTGCACACGGGGGGATGTTGGAAAGTGACCGACACGCCTAAACCAGAGAATGGTGACAGCAGTAATAGGACCCGGGGGGAAGTCCGTGGCGCTTAGCTGTATTTAACAGCCTAAATGAAAGGCTCTCTGTAGCCGTGGCCTTATGATGAATACTTCTGCCGCTACTCTCCAGCGTCTCAAGGAAACGGTTCTTGCTCAACAACAACAGCATACGTGATCGAACAGAAAGACGCTAGCATTGCAAGTTTCCCTGGTCGACATATTTTTCGTCAAAATGTGCGGTGCGGCATCCCGCGGTGACGGTGGCGAGCTGGAAGCGCTATCCGGCCCCAGCCCGGCATGCACGTGAAGCAATAACCGCGGACGTACTCGGGATCTCTCATTCGAAATCCACTCCAAATTTTCAGGCACTTGTTGATGTTGATGTTGTTACAGGGTGGTTAAGCTTGTTGTTTGAATTCAAATGATTATACCTAAATTTACATAAGCCTGGTAGGTATGGTAGATCTTTATGTTCGCATGGACACCAGCCCTCATGGCCAACGAGTGCCTGCTCTAAGTGCGGTGTAGTAGACCTACTATCAGGGCGCAACACGCGTGCGACCTTCAGGCAGCGCACGAAAACGTACGTCACTGCCACTGCAGTGCAACGTACTATGTGTGTCGTGTCGATGGGATCGGGCTGTGGAGTTGGTTGGTGGTTGGGTACCAACTGTCGTGATTACAGTGCCGCTTCACACAAAGTCCCCCCCACACACACACATCGAACGGCACGAACGCTTCGCTGGTTTGCATCTCCAGTTCTCGACAGCGCTTAGCGAATGGCAAGGGTGATGCACAATACTAGAGTTTTCCCACTCGGTTACGAGGACGCTTGACTGGGCCGTGGGCTCTGGCTCTGGAGCCAAATGACATGGCCCGTTGATTTGGATCTCTACATCCCCTCCACCGCAAACCGCGGTAACCGGACTGCTCATAAAGGCAGCTGTGTCGGGGCTGTGTCGCCTCCCCAACCCGCAGCCCACAGCAATCCTTGGGTTGTTTTCTGCCCTGTCACCTGGACCTGCCTGAACTGTTCTCCGGCCGGGCCTATCTCTTGGGAGGGTCATTCAACAAGAGACTCGACTTGTGTGCACATCGCAGTTACCTAGCCTGGCCTAGCCATCGCGCCTAGCCTGGCTAACCGAGAGTAACTAATATAACTAACCAACTAACTAAGTTAGTTTGCCAATCGGGACAGGCCTTTTCATTCCGGAAGTGTCTGCCGTCAGGATGTGCCGTAAATCGTAAACTTCTGCGTCCCGAACGAGCATCACAGCAATGGTGCGTGCGTGCGTTGCCCTTTGCGCTCTACCCCTGCTGCTGCAGCTGCATACCCCCTACACATATCCCCAGTTCCTCTCTTCTCCCCGACTCGGGAGTTATAACAAAGCTGAAACCAGACTAGAGACAGCGCACGCAGGCTAGCACAGAATCAAAAACACACGCCTCA